AGGTGATTAAAAAGGCAAATGGAATTTTGTCTGCCATTGCTCAAGGGATGGAGTTTAAAAACAGGGAGGCTATGCTGCAGCTGTATAGGGTCCTGGTGAGGCCACACCTGGCTCTCCTTACTTGAGAAGAGATGTACTAGCATTGGAGGGGGTGCAGAGGAGATTCACTCAGTTGATTCCAGAATTGAGAGGGTTGGATTATGAGGAGAGACTGAGTGGACTGGGATTATACTCATTGGAATTCAGAAGAATGAGGGGAGATCTTATAGAAACATATAAGATTATGAAGGGAATAGATAAAGTGGAGGCAGGGAGGTTGTTTCCGCTAGCAGGTGAAACTAGGACTAGAGGGCATAGTCTCAAAATAAAAGGAAGCAGATGTAGGACTGAGGTCAGAAGGAACTTCTTCACCCAAAGGGTTGTGAATCTGTGGAATTCCCTGCCCAGTGAAGCGGTTGAAGCTACCTCGCTGAATGTGATTAAGGCAAGGCTAGATAAATTTTTGAACAGTAAAAGGAATTAAGGGTTATGGTGAATGGGCGGGAAAGTGGAGCCGAGTCTCCAAAAGATCAGCCATGATCTTATTAAATGGCGGGGCAGGCTCGAGGGGCCAGATGGCCTACTCCTGCTCCTAGTTCTTATGTTCTTATGAATGCCAAAATCACACTCCAAGAATGCCATTTCAACGACTTGAATTTTTATTCCTAATTTTTATGAACTAAAATGATAGGTAAAGGGAAACTAGATACCAGGCTAGTAGAGAAAGATTGAGAGAGGAAATTCTAGACAGTTGGACAAAGTAAATGATTGGGTATAGGATACTGGATGCAAGAAACTGGTTATAAAGGAAGATGATTTTCAATTCCTATACTGGACAATGGAGAGTTAAGTGAGTCAGCAAGGACAAATGATAGTTGAGCAAGGGTTTGTGCAGGATTTTGGAAGGTGAATTAATCAAACTATCAAATAAATTTGTATAGATAAATCTGAAACGGATAAGCTGAAAATTCTATTCACAATTGATTAAAATCTCCATGATCTAAATCATGAGGATCAAGAAGAACCTAAACAGTTACAAATATCATGTAAAACATCTTTTCATTTTTAAACCAGTCAAATAAAGACTCTTCTTCCTTGCAAAATCCGTGCTGTTGGCTGCTAATAAAACAATGTCACTGTTTTGTCAAAGTCAATTTGACATTAAGTCAAATCATACGTATTACAGAACTTGTAGCAACTGTCAGACAAAGATGTATGTTTAATATTTGAAAGGATACTAGTGTGCTAAAATGGACTCTGATTTCTTGTAAACGTGTAAATTCTACCCAGACGAACCAGTTTATTACATTTGGTGCTCCTAACATCTGACCCATTTGTTTAATCTAAAATATCATATCTATGTGGGACAGAGTAAAATGACTGCAAGTTTGGTGAGGAGGGGAGTGTATTTTGCAGTTTTAAGGATTGTTTCTTGTTTTAAGCACTGCTTGCTTGCAATTAGCATCTTATTTAAATTTATTGCTTTTAACTTAGTTTTATTCTGAGATTAGGTGGAACTAATCAAGAACTCTGCGGGAGAGATCAGCTCATTAAGTACCTGCTCTAAATTGGGTCTGTAACTGCCAGATGGTTGACTCATCTGAAGCTCAATAGAATGAAGTGGTTTAGTGCAATGAAAGGATTACAGTGGACAGAATGGAATCAGTGCAAGTTTGGTGAGGTTCTATCTGTGGCCACCTCCAGGACTTGAAAAGCTGAAGAAGAAGGCAGAGTTTAGAAAAAAATCAACGTACCATCACAGGAGAATGTAAGTACAAAAATAAGGTCAAGTTACAGCAGTATGTAGGGACATGGGGATGTTTCACATGACTTGGATGGACACATGCAGCAAGTGTTACCAGCCACACAAACTAAAGCCTCAGGTTATAGTACTAAACTTTGTGATTTCAGTTACTGCTTATGTGGCTAGCACATTCAGAAAAGTGGTCACACAACAGTTTAGAGGCATGCAGGCATATAGGGAACATGTTAATAGTCCAGATGAACCAGGCAGCTAATGAGGAGAAGGTGGTGCAGTAGCATTATATGCTGGACCAGCTAATGTTCTGGGAACCCGGGTTTGAATCCCACCACAACAGATGGTGGAAATTTAATTCAACTTTAATAAAAGGAATTAAAAGTCTAATGATGACACTGAAAACATTGTTAATTGGTGGAAACATGTACCTGCTTTGTCAATATCTTTTAGGGAAGGAAACTGTCATCTTTATCTGGTCTGACCTACATGTGACTCCAGGCCTACAGTAATGTGGTTAGCTCTTAACTGCCCTCTGAAATGGTCTGACCAGCAATCGCTTTCTAGTTGAAATGTTAAACTCTATTTCACTTTCCACAGATGCTGCCAGATCTGCCGAGTTTCTCCAGCATTTCTGTTTGCTTATTTGTGATTGAATACTCCCCACTTGTCTTGAGTGCAGCTGCAACACTACTGCACCATCCAGGACAAAGCAGCCCACTTGATTGGCACCTCATCCACAAACATTCACTCCCTTTACCACAGACATCCAGTAGTAGCAATGTGTACCATCCACAAGATGCACTATTTACCAAGACCTCTCAGCACCTTCCAAACCCATGACCACTACCATCTGGAAGGACAAGAACAGCAATTATATGGGAACACCACCACCTGCAAGTTCCTTTCCAAGCCAACAAGTGGTGAGTAACATTAGCACTACAAGAATGCCAGGCAATGACCACTGCCAATAAGAGACAATCAAACCACCACCCCTTGATTTACCATCACTGAATCCTCTCCACTATCCCTTCAGCAAGTAACTCATCTCCTGACTCCCCAAAGCCTGACCAAAATTGTACACAATACTCCAGGTGCGGTCTCACTCATGCTTTGTACAGTTGCAGCAACACATCCCTACTTTCATACTCCATTCCTTTCACAATAAATAACAAAATCCCAATTACCTTCCTTATTACCGATTGTACCTGCATACTAGATTTCATGATTTTGCTTCTTTTCTAGATCACTTTAAATCCATGCCTTTTTCTTTTCATTCACTCATGGGACATGGGTGTCACTGGCTGGGCCAACATTTATTGCTCATCCCTAGCTGCCCTTGAGGTGGTGGTGAGCTGCCTTCTTGAACCTCTGTAGTCCACATGCTGTAGGTAGACACACAATACCTTTAGGGAGGGAATTCCAGGATTTTGACCCAACAGTGAGAGAACAGCAATATCTCCAAGTCAGGATGGTGTGGGGTTTGGAGTGGAGCTTGCAGATGCTGGTGTTCCCATGTATCTGCTGCTCTTGTCCTTCTAGATGGAAATGGATGAGGGTTTGGAAGGTGCTATCTAAAGAACTTTGTAGAATTTCTGCAGTGCATCTTCTAGATAGTACACGCTGCTGCTACTGAATGCTGGTGAAGGGAGTGATGTTTGTGGACGTGGTGGCAATCAGGCAGGCTGCTTTGTCCTGGACGGCTTCAAGCTTTGAGCTTTGTTGGAGCCACACCCTTCCAGGCAAGTGAGGAGTATTCTATCACACTCCCAACTTTGTGCCTTGTAGACAACGGACAGACTTTGGGGAGTCAGATGGTGAGTTACCCATTGCAGTATTCCTAGCCTCTGACCTGCTCTTGTAAGCAAGTGTTTATGTGGCGGGTCCAGTGAGTTTCTCAGGGTAATCCTGGGTGTTAATTCCCAGGATGTTGACAGTGGGGGAATCAGTGATGGTAACACCATTGAATGTCAAGGGGCAGTAATTAGACTGTCTGCTAATGGTGATGGTCATTGCCTGGCATTTGTGTGGTGCGAATGTTACTTGCAACTTGTCAGCCCAAGCCTGGGTATTGTTCCTTTTATGGGTGGGAACAATTTCTCCCCAGCCCACTCAATTTTGAAAACCTCTGTCAGATCTCCTCTTAAGCTTCTTCTCTCCGTGGAGAATAGCCCAACCTCTTCAACCTATCCTCGTAACTTAAGTTCTTCATTCCTGGAACCAATCTTGTAAACTGTTTATGCATTCTCTCCAATGCGATCACATTCTTTCTGTAATGTGGCACCTGGACTGTACACAATATTACAGCTAATGTCTAATAGGTGTTTTATACAAGTTCACCTCCTTACTCTTGTACTTTATCCTCAGCATTATTAATAGTGGTGTAGTCCCTGCTTTATTTACCGCAGTTCTTAGCAATCTGTGCAGATATACATTCAAATCTTTCTGTTCCTATGCTCCTCTTAGAATTGCACCCCCTATTTTACATTGAAAGACAATGTTCTTTCCACCAACGTGCTTCAGCTCACACTTCTGTACAAAATAAATGCTGTTATATATCCACAGAAACCTTCACCTCTCTTCTGTTATAATTTACATGAGGTTCTTTGTTTACCTGGCAGGCACAGATAAATTACAGGAGCATCTTGAGTATTTTTGGGGCTAACTAAAAAAGAAAATCTTTAGGAAGTTACTACATAGAGTACCACTAGCACAGAAGCATTAACTATTTGTGGCTTTTGTCAGCCACCTTTATAAGGGAGCCAAAAGCTCACTAATTGTTGCAACTAAGATATATTCCTGGGCAATACTGGTAAACTTGGGCTAATTCAGGGCCTATAGATTTTTTAAAAAAATCTGCAACCTGTAGTCAGAAAAATTTTAAAGGGAAGATAGATTCTACATGCAAAGGCACTATATAAACTTGTTACAACGAGGTGTAGAGCTGGATGAACACAGCAGGCGAAGCAGCATCAGAGGAGCAGGAAGGCTGACGTTTCGGGCCTAGACCCTTCTTCAGAATAATTGTTTATTTGTGATCTATGATGAATCAAAATTTACTTTCAATGCCATCTTTGAACACAATGAATTCATTAGTTCAAAAAAGTGCCATTCTGTAATAGATTGAGTTATGTTTTATATATGTTAAATATATAAAATATATATATTTTTTAAGAATTATAGGCTTTTTATAACCAATACATACTGTGATTTTTGACCTAGGGCTGCAGTCGCCTGCTGGAGAATCCTCTGGGACATTGACCTTCATGTATGTGTTTGGAGTGTTCAGCCATCTTGTCTTTTCACGCTGCTGTTTCTGCGCCAGAAATTTAAGGGGAGAGCATGGAACAGCATCATCTTCAAAGGAAAATGCTGTGACAGTTGCAGGAATTTCGACCTCACTCTTGTGTCTTAGCTTTTCTCTCAGAATAGGGTGCCTGTAAGTGTAGCCAGTTCTGTAGCCCTGTGGAGAGAAATAATAAGTGCAACAACTTCATTGAAGGCTGAAGTTCAATTTGAATGAAAACAGACATGACTGCTATATCAGTTAGTTGGGCTGGTATTGTCAGCGGTTGGTCTACTCCTCATTTACAGGAAAATACAAGAGAATTTTTTATACAATGAGAATGATTTTGATTTATCCAATTAATTGAATAGAAACAAAGATCAAAAATGACCATGCAAACATATGGAGTAGGTAATCATGTTGGTATATTTTGAATCTGCTCATGGAACGTAAATAAGTTGTATTTATAGTTAGGTCAACCTGGGTTACTCAGATACTTCTCTTAGAATGTGTAGACACATTACAAGTTCAAAGATATGATGCATTTGTTATATAACTGATGTATGTTTATAAAAATAACAAGAGTTAATGCCAAGGTATCAATGTGGACTTCACAAACTTCAAAATCTCCCCTCCCAATATCGCATCCCAAAACCAGCCCAGCTTGTCCCCGCCTCTCTAACCTGTCCTTCCTCCCACCTATCCCCTCCTCCCACCTCAAGCCCCATCCCCATCTCCTACCTACTAACCTCATCCCGCCCCCTTGACCTGTCCGTCCTCCCTGGACTGACCTATCTCGTCCCTACCTCCCACCTACACTCACCTTTACTGGCTCCACCTCCACCCCTTTGACCTGTCTGTCTCCTCTCCACCTATCTTCTCCTCTATCCATCTTCTATCCGCCTCCCGCTCTCTCCCTATTTATTTCAGAACCCCCTTCCCCTCCCCCATTTCTGAAGAAGGGTCTAGGCCCAAAACGTCAGCCTTCCTGCTCCGCTGATGCTGCTTGGCCTGCTGTGTTCATCCAGCTCTACACCTTGTTATCTAAGAGTTAATGCCAACATCCTAAAATACATTGCAGAATTGCATTTCTTTTTGCAGTTTAGACCAATGCTTCTCAATCTGGGGTTCATACAGACTTCCTGGGGTCCTGGGAATAGTTTAGTAATACCTGGAAATAGGCTTAGTTTAAGCCAAGAGTAGTGTGGGCTGGCAGACTCAGGTTAGAGGGGAATATGTGTTGAAGGCTGCCGAGTGACAGGAAGATTGACAGTTAAAACAGTAGTTATCAAAGCTTGTGGTGGCCACCAGGTAACTTTAGTCTTGTTTGAGTGATTTTGTTTTTAAAACATTCAACTACTACATATTAAGTACCCAAGTATTAAGTGTATCATAGACTATTAAAATGTCGTTGGATTAGGGATGATGTTTATGAACTCTAATACATTCAAAAATGTATCCTTCAATTAAAATTTTTTTGTAATTAAATATAGCAAACAACGTGCACACAGGAAGTTCCTTAAATCAATGACAATAATATGCAATTTGCGTATTGAGAAATGGTTTTGTTTGGTCATTTTTAAAGATCTGTCAAACTCTGTTCTGCATTAGTGGACTAATTAGACACCATAAAACATTACTGCAGTCTTCAAGGAGTACTGTACAACAATTTTTGTTCCACCTGATACAAGCGACCTGGAGTAGGGTCCTTAAATGTGACCCTCCCAATATTTGCAAAGAAAATAAGTTGTGTTTTTTTTTATTCACTGGATAAGGGCATCGCTGGTCAGGACAGCATTTATTGCCTAGAGGGCAGTTAAGAGTCAACCATATTACTGTGGGTCTGGAGGCACATGGAGGCCAAACCAGGTAAGGATGGCTGTTTGCTTCCCTCAAGAGCATTAAATGAACCGGGTGGGTTTTTCCAACAATCGACAATGGTTTCACGGTCATCATTAGACTTTTCATTCCAGGTTTTTAATTTAATTCAAATTCCTCAACTGCCATGGCAGGATTTGAAGCCAGATCCCCGGAACATTACCTGGCCCTCTGGATTAACAGTAAAGCGATAACACCACTAGGCCATTGCCTCCCTCTTGCTAGGCAAGTGGGTCCCTACCCAGAAATCCCCCAATCACCCAGCAAAATTCACTCTTGGGGTGACTTTTCTCTGATCACCAATTAATAGAATGGTAGGAAAAGGTGAGAAGCTACTCTTCCTGTCACAGGCTGGTTTTTTCCTGTATGTCCTGCTGATAGGTTTATTGGGGCAGGCTGAGAGCGCAAGGGGGTTGGGTGGTGATGGCAACCCATGAGAGAGGAGGCTGCAAAGAGGCTGGAGGGAGAGAAAGAGGATTCAAAGAAGAAAGAACAGATTCAAAACCATTCAGACGGAATCCTTACCTAATTAGGAGCTAGGAAAACCTGACATTACAGAGTTACCGAATCACTTGCAACTGAATGCGGTATCTCTAATTTAAGGCTGCATAAGTTCAGAAAATTGTAGGAGATGCTATTGTAATAGATATTGTCAATTGTTAAATTAAATTATGGGATCAAGATCTGAGATTAAGTGGTGTGTAGGAATGGCCTAGTTAAAATATTCCAGCTTTGTGAATATGTAATAGTAATGCACTAACTGTGATGTCACCAGTTTGCAGAAAGTGAATCTAGGATAATGGCTGTGTTCGAAGTACATGTCAATTGCTTTGAAAAAAAAAGCTTTGAACTTAACCTGTTGTTTTGAGCCAGCTAAAATACAATGATATTTAGGAAATTAATGTTTTCCTTTGTGTTGTGACAAAATTTAATGGGGTTGATAATTAAGGATGTTGCATCTGTTTCTATACAAATTGAAATTCTATGTCAACACAGATACAGAAAGCAATGTTTTACTACATGACTACATCAACTAATAAAAGCGAGAATTAGAAAAGCTCTCTGAAAATCAAACTTTAATTCTCAAGTGAAACCGTCAATGAAACTAATAACTGCCCTCCAGGAGATAGAATACAAAGGATATAATGGCTTCTGCTGGGGATTGGCTTGCAGATGTCATAGAGATAGGAACAGCACAGAAAAGATGGATATGATAGGACCCAATTACTGCTGATGCTGGAATCTGTACTGAAAACAATGAATGCTGGAAATCACAGCAGGTCACAGCATCCGTGGTGAGAGAGCAAGCTACTGCTTTGAGTCGAGATGACTCTGATGAGGAGTCACCTAGACTCAAAAAGTTAGCTTGTTATCTCTCAAAAGACGGAATGTGTTGGTGGGATGGGCAAGGGGGAACGTTTGCTGAAAAGAGAAGGAAGAGCAGGAAAGAGGACTTGAATGAGATGATGACATTTTTAATGACTACTATGATCACAAAGGTTTGCACCTCTTTCCTGGTAATGGGACAATTAACTAGTTAATCTCTTTGGCGGCATTGGTTAACGTATGAATGTTGGCCAATTTTGAACTCCAGAAAAAACGGTAGGTGTATTGGAGAAGTATCACTAAAAATCTCCACAACGTTCTCCAAACATGGTGACAAGAAAGGCAGTTTAATAGCAGTATCCTCTCCCAAATTAACATGACTCAAATCATTCAAAAACAGCTCCCGTGGGCAGCAGCTGTTGCTTATATGCCTGACACCAGACTCTCAAGGCAACTGCTCTGCCTGGAGCTTGGTTAGGGATGTCCACAGAGCATCCCTGAAGAGAACAAACATACTTGCCAATTCATGGGATGCTGTGGTTTGTGACTGATCGATTTTGAGAATGCTCATTTAGGAGGGCATCAAGTACATCAAAAGTCATTGGATGGTGTACCCAAACCACCAAACAACGTACATATCTAACATTTCAAGCATTACCTTCCCAACATGTGCCAGAGTCTGCAGACCACACATTGAACTTAGCAGCTATTTCAAAGCCCATCAAACCAGAGCAGCAGCAAATCATCCTTGGTCTCAAAGAGTTGCCTAATCAGAAGGTGACATAGTGTCCATTCCTTCAGGGTCAGAGTTGTACCAATCTTCTTCATATGGGCTGCAGTGATTCAAGAGAGCAGGTCACCACCACCTTCAAGGGCAACTAGGGACGGGCAATAAATGATGCTATCCGTGAATAACTCAAGGTTAAAAGTGGTATCAAATTGAAACAAAAAACATACAAAATCTTTAGAAGATTAGTGACAGGCCAGAGGTTTGCTAGTTTCTAAATTTTCCTAAAACCATAAGACATGGGAGCAGAAGTAGGCCATTCAGCCCAATGAGTCTACTCCGCCATTCAATGAGATCATGTGAATGAGTAAGAAAAATTAAAAGAAAGAACCTGGAACGTGAAAAAAACCAGCAACAAATATAAAAATAGAGCAAAAACTTCTACAAGTATATAAAAAGCTAAAATAAAACACTGGTCCCTTAGCGAATGAGATTAGGGAATTAGCTTTTACAAGGGGACATAGTTTTAAAGTTAAAGGAGGTAGATATTGGGGAGATGTCAGAGGTAGGTTCTTTACTCAGTGGTAGGGGCGTGGAATGCATTGCCTGAGAGGGTAGTGCAGTCGGCCTCATTAGGGGCATTTAAGCGGCTATTAGATAGGCATATGGATGATAGTATAAAAGGTAGCGGTGGAGGTTAGATAGACCTTAGGTTTAGGGTAAAAGTTTGGCACAACATCGCGGGCCGAAGGGTCTGTACTGTGCTGTACTGTTCTATGTTCTATGTTCTAATTAGTAATGGGAAACAGCAGAAGCTTTAAACAATTATTTTGTAACCACGTTCACAATGGTCAATACAAAAATAAAACTCTCAGGAACAGTGCAAAATTGAGACACAAAAATGAACACTAACGAAAAGGAATGGGAATACTAACAGACTTAAAGGCTGACAAATCCCCTGAACTTTTTGCTTGTACATTACAGCAGTGCTTCCTAAACCTTCTCCTACTATTACCCATTTTGAGGCTTCAAAATTGTTAGGACCCTTTGTTTAGCAGTGGTGGTGGTGCAGGGATGGATATAACGGTGGGGAAGAGGGGAGATCAGCCATTGGCGTTGAGGTGCTCACAAACCCAAAATTTTAGCTCACAATCGCACTTTGGCAAACTCCATGCTTGGGTCTTAAATAAATGAATGGCTGCTGAAATAGCAAATGTATTTACTTGTAATCTTCCAAACTTTTCCAAGCTCTGGAAAGACCCCACTGGTTCGGAAAACCACAAAGGTAACACCACTTCAACAAAGGACAAAGAAAGACAGCAGGAAACTTTAGGCCAGTTAGGCTAACTCTTCCATTGGGAAAATATTACAATCTATTATCAAAGAAGTTGTATCACAATATTTACGACATTAAAATCTTGTGCTTAGTTCTACTGGTTAATTGCAACTTGTTTGGATTTCTTTTTTAAACATTAATGGTTCCTAACAGTACTGTAACATAGGAAACTAAGTTGAAATAAACTAATAATTTTCAGGATGGCAAACTGTAACTGGAGAAGTGCAACAAGGATCAAATGCTGGATCTTCAATAATCCCAATTAATGACCTAGAAGAAAGGACTAACCATATTACGGCCAAATTTGATGATGCAGGTGAGAATAATGTGGGAAAATGTGACTTTGTCCATTTGGCAGGAAGACAGAGAGAGGCATAAGTGTTGTGGTAATGATCTGAGACTGCTAGTGAAATTTCTTTTAAGAAAAAATATTTAAAGCTAGTCTACATGTGACACTAGGTCCACAGTAATGTGGTTTTCTCTTAACTGCCCTCTGCAATGTCTTAGTAAGTCACTGAGTTCAAAGAACAATTAAGGGGTGTTCCATCCCATGAATTAACTTAACAAAAGGATGAATACAGAACCATAATGTTTAAATAAAAAGAGAGACTTTATTGATGACACACGTGGGGTATAAATCATAACAATCACCATGCAGGTACTTCAAGTAATTAGAAAAGGGAAGCAGAATGTTGGCCTTTATTGCAAGGACAAAGTAGGTTGAGTTTTGCCACAACTATTGAAGGATATTGGTGAAACCATACCTGGAGTACTGTGATAAGTGCAAAGTACTAAAGATGTTGGAGATCTGATATAATAATGGCGAGTACTGGAGAAACTCAGTAGGTTTGGCAGCATCTATGGAGAGAGAAACAGAGTTAATGTTTCAAGTCCATTATGACTCCTCTTTGAAGCTCTGAACTCCAAAGAATTGTCATATTAGACTTGAAACATCAACTCAAGTTTCTCCAGCACTTTGTTTTTATTCCAGGAGTACTGTATGCCGTTTTGGTCTTCTGAGGCATTTGCCTTATAAAGAAGGTTTGAGCAGGTTGCGTTGATACTCATTGAGTTTAGAGAAATGAGATGATATTTTTGAAAGTGTAAAATTCTGAAGGGGCTTGGTACGGTAGACACTAAAAAGATTATTCTTTTTTTGGGGAATCTAGAACCAATCAGTACTATTTAAAAATAAGGGGCTTCCCATTCAAGTTGGAGATGATGAATTTCTTCTGTGTGTCCATAGTGTTTGGGTATTTTCCTCATCAACCTGTTCATTGATGTTTTCTCCAGAGCAGGTGGGATTTGAACCCAGATCTCCTGGATGAAAGGTAGGGACACCACCACTGTGCCATGAGAAGTCCCCATCAGCGTTTGGGACACGCTTTCATAATGGGCTGCGGAGGTTGGGCCATTGAATATATTCAAGGCTGATTTAGAGAAGTTTTTGATCAACAGGGATGTCAAGGGGGAAGACAGAAAATAGTTGAACTAATCATGGCCTAAAATCTACGATCTCGTGGAATGGTCAAGCAGGCTCATGGGCTGGTCTACACCTGGCCCCTATTTCTTATGTGCTTTACCACAATTTTTATTACTTTTAATCAACCTGTTCAGACACACCTCCGTAGTGGGTGGTACGTGAACCCAGACCTGCTGGCTCAGAGCCTGGATGACTACCACTGCACTACAAGAGCCCTTTTTAACCATAGTTTTTGTCTGTATCTATCTGTATGTTGTGAGCTGAAGTAAATGCCCACCACATGATTACAATTAAATAAAAATCATAAAGTTAACAGCCAGTATTCTGGGAAAACATGCCTACTCTTCAAAGTATGTCATTGGTTCTTTTATGGCCACTTGAACTTGTACGTGAGGAATGTCGGTTCAGCCATGATCCTATTGGGCGCAGAGCAGGGTCGAGGGGCCAACTTTTGTTCCTATTTCCTTTGGTTTAATATCTAATCCAGAAGATGATACCTCAACACTGCAGAACTCCTTCATTGCTGCACTGAAGTGTCTGACTAGATAATGTGGTCAAGTCCTGGACTGGGGATGAAATCCGAGATCTCCTCACTTGGAGACAAGTGTACCATCACGATATCAAGGCTGACACTTTTCCTTGTAAAATAACCAGTTTTAATCCTGCAAGAAGTAAATGGTATGAAGTCTCAACTCAAAATTAAGCTTTTATTCATTAGTACTCAGTAGTCTGTAGTACAGTTCTCTTAAGTGAGGCTTGGAAAGACTCTAAAGCAAAGATCAGAATCCTGAAAATATACACACCAAATTGTCCAACATTCTCATCATAGATTCAAATTCCTGTTCTCCAACTCTCCACTTCTGTGCGATTCCCATATTAACTCCATCAATGGCTACTTTGTTTGTGTAAGGCTTGAATTTTTCCAAATCCAGTAGCAGCAAGTTATCCACACTACCTGCACTTGCCAGGGCTCTCACCTACAAATAAATCAATTGGTTAAAAGTGCATAGATCACATCCACGTTTTAAAGCAATAATGTGGGTCACCTCAACAGAAGCAATGCTTTGAAAATCAATCAATCCTAAAAATATTTTCGCTGTACAGGTAACATGTTGAAATTAGTCATTTTGTATTATTTGTGAATAATAATTCATAGAATGAAACTGCAAAATGGTTAATTACTCTAATAAGCTCTCTAATAATTATTTAATTAATTTCATACAATTGAACTCCTTGTTCTAAAAATTTCTGAACCAATTTTACTGAAAAAGCACTTCAATGGATTGTATTGAGTCAAGGCCAGTTATGACGAAATACTATGAGTGGGTTGAATCTGGAGGAAATGTTCTTCTGATAGGGATTCAGAAGTGATATAAACATTGACATTCATACATTATTCCCTCTCATTTATGTGGATTATTCGAATGCATGTTCCCCTTTCTCATGTTCCACCTTTACAAAGATTTCCAACTGTTTCATGCTTAGATACGTTGGCTTCATAGGTTTCAGTATGGTGCAGCAATGATAACAATTCCTTGTATTGCAAAAAACATCCCTCTGAGCATGGTTAAGGGAGGAGATCATAACTGTAACAGATGCATGCTTTCTTGCAACAGTTTCCACTTAACAATGTGATGAAACACATGTTTTATGGTAACAGTTTGAACAGCACAGTTATCAAAGACACGGTTTAAAACATTGGTTTTACCTTGCTTTCAAAAATGTAAAAATTTGGGTAAAGAATTTCAGAGTTTAGACCTGTGATCACTAAATGTGCTACAATTGAGTGTCAAAAATCACAACACACCAGGTTATACTCCAACAGGTTTATTTGAAGACACAAGCTTTCAGAGTCTCACTCCTCCTTCAGCTATCAGAGAGGTGGCATCGGACATAGACACCTGAAGGAGTGAGACTCTGAAAGCTTGTGTTTTCAAATAAACCTGTTGGACTATACCCTGGTTTCATGTGATTTTTGATCTTGTCCACCCCAGTCCAACACCAGCACCTCCACAGCATGACTACTGACAGTGGAACATGCTGACTGAAATATAGGGCTACACTAAATTTTAGAAGCGAGACAGGACTGTAAAGATATCTGTAAACAAAAATGAGTTTGGAAATGAGTGTAGGAGTGACAGAAGAGTGGGTGCAATTTACAATTATAAATATCTGTGCTACGTGGCTGAAATGGGATGCACTTCACCTGCACTTCCCAGAATCTAGTCTGATGCATTCGTTGCTCACAAATGTGGTCTCCTCTACACTGGGGAAACAAAGCATAGACTGGGTGACCGCTTCTATGTTCTGCTTGCAAAAAAGACCCTGCACTACCATCGTCTGCCACTTTAACGCACCACCCTGTTCCCTGGCCAACATCTGCTTCTGGCTTGCTGCAGTGTTCCAGCGAAGCTCAATGCAAGCTGGAAGAACAACACCTTATTTTCCGCATGGAGACACTGCAGCCCTCCAGAGTCAATACTGAGTTCAATAATCTTGGGGCCTAAACTCTCCCATATTCCCAGCCCCCTACCCCACACACCAGGCCTTGTTATCACATAGCTTTACATTACACATTACCCCTGTTGTTAGTCACTAATAGTCCCCATTAACAACTATTCACCCTTCCAGTCTGATCGTTATCAACTCCTTTGTCTGTCCAACTGTTCTTCTCTCTCTTTAGGCTCTATCCTATCGTTTACTCCATACCCCACCCACCTCCCTTTCTTCTGCATATAAACTGATGTTTTCCTGGCCACTATCAGTTCTGAGGAAGGCTCACTGGACCTGAAACATTAACCCTATTTTTTTTCTTCACAGATGCTGCCAGACCTGCTGAGCTTTCCCAGCAATTTGGTTTGTGTACACTAAATAGGTTGAACTTCGAGGTCATAGAGTCATATAGCTATACAGCACTGAAGTAGATCCCACGGTCTAACTCGTCCAAGCCGACCAGATATCCTATATAAATCTAGTCCCATTTGCCAGCATTTGGTTCAGATCCCTCCAAACCATTCCTATTCATATACCCATCCAGATGCCTTTTAAATGTAATCATACCAGCCTCTATCACTTCTTCTGGCAGCTCATTTCATATATGCACCACCCTCTGCATGAAAAAGTAGTCCCTTTTATATCTTTTCCCTCTCACCTTAAACCTATGCCCTCTAGTAGGGCTCGTGCCCTGTGGGTAAAAGACCTTGTCTAATGACACTGTTGATGTCGCTCATGATTTTATAAACCTCTATAGGTCACCCCTCAGCCTCCGACGCTCCAGGGAAAAAAGCCCCAGCCTATTCAGTCTCTCCCTATATTTCAAACCCTCCGACCCTGGCAACATCTTCATAAATCTTTTTTGAACTCTTTCTAGTTTCACAACATCCTTCCTATAGGAGGGAGAGCAGAATTGCACGCAGTATTCCAAAAGTGGCCAAATCAATGTCCTGTACAGCCTCAACATGGCCTCCCAACTCTGATACTCCATGCACTGACCAATAAAGGCAGGCACACCAAACGCCTTCTTCCATATCCTGTCTACCTGCAATTCCACTTCCCTGAACCTGCACTCCAGGTCTCTTTGCTCAGCAACATTCCCCAGGATCCTATCATGTAGTGTACAAGTCCTGCCCTGATTTGCCTTTCCAAAATGCAGCACCTCACATTTATCTAAATTAAACTCCATCTGTCATTCCTTGGCCCATTGGCCTTTCTGATCATGATCCCATTGTACTCAAGGGTAACCTAACTATGCCCCCTGTGTTCACATCCAAATCATGTATATAAATGATAAAAAGCAGTGGACCCAGCAACAATCCTTGTGGCATACACCACTGGTCACAGGCCTTCTGGCTGAAAAGCAACCCTCCACCACCACCCTGTCTCCTACTTTTGAGCTAGTTCTGTATCCATATGGCTGGTTTTCCCTGTATTCCATGTGGTCTAACCTTGCTAACCAGTCTACCATGAGGAGCCTTGTGGAATGCCTTACTGAAGTCCATCTAGATCATATCCGCCATTCTGCCTTCATCAATCCATTACTTCTTCAAAAAAACTCAATCAAATTAGCGAGACACTATTTCCCATGCATAAAGCCATGCTGACTATCCCTAATCATAGAACATAGAACAGTACAGCACAGTACAGGCCCTTCAGCCCACGATGTTGTGCTGAACTTTTACCCTAAACCTAAGGTCTATCTAACCTCCACCGCTACCTTATACTATCATCCATATGCCTATCTAATAGCCGCTTAAATGCCCCTAATGAGGCCAGTCCTTGCCTTTCCAAATACATGTAAATCCTGTCCCTCAGGATTCCCTCCAACAACCTGCCCACCACCGATGTCAGGCTTCCTGGCTTTTACTTACAACCCTTCTTATATAGTGGCATCACATTAGCAAACCTCCAGTGTTCGGCACCTCACCTGTGCCCACCGTTGATACAAATATCTCGGCAAGGGGCCCAGCATTCACTTGCCTAGCTTCCCACAGAGTTCTAGGGTACACCTGATCAGGTCCTGGGGATTTATCCACCTTTATGCGTTTTTAAAATGTTCAGTACCTCCTTCTCTGTAATATGGACATTTTTCAAGATGTTGCGATTTATTTCCCCATGCTTTATATCTTCCATATCCTTCTCCACGGTTAAAACTGTTGCAAAATGCTTGTTTAGTATCCTCCCCCATCCCCTATGGTTCCACACATAAAAGTGGCCGTGCTGATCTTTAAGGGGCCCTATTCTCTCCTCGTTATCCTTTTGTCCCTTATGTATTTGTAGAATCCCTTTGGATTCTCCTTAACCCCTTTTCCCAAAGCTGTTTCATGTCCCCTTTTTGCCCTCCTGATTTCCCTCTTAAGTATACTCCAACTGCCTTCATACTCTTCTAGGGATTCACTCAAGCCCTGCGGTCTATATCTGACATATGCTTCCTTCTTTTTCTTGACGAAAACCTCAATTTCTCTAGTCATCCAGAACTCCCTACACTTACCAGCCCTGCCTTTCACCCTAATAGGAACATACTGTCTCAGGACTCGTTATCTCATTTTTGAAGGCTTCCCATTTTCCAGCTGTCCTTTTAATTGCAAACATCCGTGCCCAGTCAACTTTTGAAAGTTCTTGTCTAATACTGTCAAAATTAGCCTTCCTCCAATTTAGAACTTTAACTTTTAGATCCAGTCTATCCTTTTCCAGCACTATGTTAAAATTAATAGAATTATGGTCACTGGCCCCAAAGTGCTCCCCCGTTGACACCTCAGTCACCTACACTACCTTATTTTCCAAGGGTAGGTCAAGTTTTGCACCTGCTCTTGTAGGTACATCCACATACTAAAATCAGAAAATTTTCTTGTGCACACTTAAATTCCTCTCCATCCAAGCCCTTAACACTATGGCAGTCCCATCAATGTCTGGAAAATTACAATCCCCTATCATAACCATGCTATTATTCCTACAGATAACTGAGATCTTCTTATAAATTGGTTTCTCAATTTCCAACTGACTATTGGCAGGGGGGGCTAGATTACAATCCCAATAAGGTGATCATTTCTTTCTTATTTTTCAGTTCCACCCAAATAACATCCCTGGACGTATTCCCAGGAATATCCTCCCTAAGTACAGCCATAATGTTATCTCTAATCAAAATTGCCAGTCCTCCTCTCTTGCTCCCCTTTCTATCCTTCAATAGCATCTATACCCTGGAACATTAAGCTTCCAGTCCTGTCTGTCCCTGAGCCACGTCTGTAATTGCTATGATATCCCAATCTCATGTTCCCAAGCCTGCCCTGAGTTCATCTGCCTTACGTGTTAGGCTTCTTGCATTGAAATAAATGCAGTTTAATTTATCAGTCCTACCTCGTTCTCAGCTTTGTTCCTCCTGCCCTGACTGTTTGACTTACTCTTTTTCCCAGCTGAATCAGTCTCAGAGTGCTCGCTTGCCTCACTGTCTCCCTCGGTCCCCTAGAATTCAAAGAAATCAGCTCCAATACTAAGAATACCTCAGAAAAAAAAAAAAAGGAGCAGCTTTACAGCCACAAATTTTTCTCATCCTCCATCTTGGATGACCAAAAGTAAGATAGTCTGTTGTCCCTGGTGAGGTGACAAGGATTTTGTGATTGGAGATATCTAAATAATGGCTGTCAGAAAAAGGCATGTGGTCAATGGACTTGCAATTAATATGATATCATGCTTGAAATCACGACTCAAACAGCAACCAAGGTACTTACTGTTGGCTTCAGCATAAACGAGCAGTCATCGAAATGGTATAGAATTGAGGCATCGGTGCTGAGCATAGCTCACTGGATAGTAATTAATGGAAACCATAGTTTACTTTTGCCCTCTGTCTTTAGAGAGCTTAGGATAACGTTTCGTTTGCTACCTTTGGTAAAAACATGGAACTATACACAGACCAGATACTGGACGGAGAAATGTAATTGTTCCTTTAGTTCACATAGGAGTGGATATATCCAATATACCCTGAAAACAGTATATAATCTTTTAATTAACCCATAATATAAAAGTTACTTAGTCTGATGAGATCAACCTTGATGCGAAAAGCATGACCAAAGCGTGTTTGCAACATTTTAGAAGTAGGAACCAGATTTTCAAAGAATTAAATAGGTTTGAACACTATTGCTATTTATCATTTAAATAATTGGCATCAGTTGTACATCATTTTTTGCATTACCTGGATTTCGCAAGCCAACTGAACTGTGTAGATGTAGTGAAAAGCTTCCTCTATGGTCTCACCAAGTGCCATTACACCATGGTTTCTCAGAACCAATACCTGAAAATAAAATCATGTTTAGAGATGGCAGAAAACAAAAATATTTCATCTTTGATTTATGTCAGCAGACAATTGAATTTTTTTTTTCTATTTACTTTTGTTAATAGTGCTTTTTCTTTCCTTTCCCTCCTCGTTTTTCTGTCCTGAAGATTCTGAATCTTGATTCCAAAGATGCTAATCTTCCATGTATACCATCCAAGTAACTATTCTCAGTGGTGTAGCTCAACAGCAATATTAGTGAGGCATCACAACGAAGACAATGAGGTCACAAAAAGGAATCATACAGTCCGAAGGCTAGTAGACCAAGTGTGTCATTGCTAGATCTTTGAAAGATCCAAATTTGGTCCACATCCTAGCCTTTGCTTCATAACGCTGCAAATTAATCCTCTAAGTATATGTTCAATTGTTAGTTACTATAGATGTGACACTAAGTTCAATTTCAGTCCATAATTCATTGTTTTTAGTGCTTTCCACCTCCACATTTATTTCTTACTTCTGTTTTTTTCCTTTTGGACAGTAGCTGTTCATCATTCTGTCATTCACATCTCCTGCAGACTTCACTTTTGTTTCTTTACCAGCCCCCATTACCATTTGCTATAATCTACAACATCAACTCTTTTCTCATTTAATTTCTTCCATCATCCACTCTATCACAGGCTTTCCTTTTGTTCCTTTTGCCAAAAACCGATTGGACTTTTGAAAAATTAACTGGTTTTCTCTCTCCAGATGCTGCCTGACTTGCTGGGCATTTCCAGCATTTACTATTTTTATTTCAGAATTCAGCAGCTGCAGTTACTTTGCTTTTGAAACATATTTCACATGGATAACAATCTTTGAATTTTTAAATTTCCTCTGCTATGCTTTAAGATATTTAAAACCATGGGACTGTCATAACTGACCTTCATCAACCACAAAAATCTGATATAAATGGTTGTAAGTGGTTAGGTTGGATTTGTCTTGCTTTTCATGGACAGGACATACAATGGAAATTTTCTATATTACTGGGTAGATGCCAGCTATGGCTGTATTGGAACAGCTTGGTGAGGGGCATGGGAAGTTTTAAAAATTTGCAATTCAATTGCCAGAATGTTGTCAGGGCCCACTGCCTTTCAGTTTTTTTTTCAGTCACCAAATGAATAGAATTGGCTAATGACTGGTATCTGTGATGCAGAGGATCTTGGACGGATCATCAATCAGCACTGCTGGCTGAAGACAGAAGCAAAAACTTTAATACCATCTTTTGCACTGATATGCTCAGCTCCTGCATTATTCAGGATGGGCATGTTCGTGCAGCATCCACTAGTTAGTTATTTGCTCACCACCATTTGCTACTGGATGTGGTAGGACTGCAGAGTTTAAATCTTATCTTTTAATTTTGGGATTGGCCCTTTCTCCTGTATATTGTTTCCACTGTTTGGCATGCAAGCTTTCTTGTGTTATAGCTTCACCATTCTTAGGTAGGTCTGGTGCTGTTCCTGGCATGCCTCCCTGCACTCTACATTGAGCTACAACTAGTCCTCAGTTTGCAAGTAATGGTGGTTGAATATGATATTACTTCTCCTCAAGGCACATACGACTTCACAGATAGCCATTTTTGAATTGCTAGATCTGTTTGATATCTATCCCATTTAGCATGGAGCTAGTGTGATACGACATAAGGGAGGGTATTCTTGATGAGAAGCGAAAGAACTGCAGATGCTGTAAATCAAGGAAAAAAAACAGAAGTTGCTGGAAGTTCAGCAGATCTGGCAGCATCTGTGAAAAAAAGTTCAGAGTTAATACTGCAGGTCCGGTGACCCTTCCTCAGAGGGACCCTTCCTGGGTCCCTGGACCCACAACATTACCTCTGATTTTTTTCTTCACAGATGCTGCCAGACCTACTGAGCTTCCAGCAACTTCTGTTTTTGTCCTTGATGAGAAGGTTGGACTTTATCTCAAAGACCACGCGGTGTTCTCTCCTATCAACATTGTCATGGATGGATGCATCTCCAATAGGCAGACTAAGGAGAAGGTCAATTCGGATTGCCTAGGTGGTTTCCTCACCCGCTGCCACAGAGCCAGTTTAGAAGTTACATCCTTTACGCTTCCACCAGTTCAGTCGGTATTACTGAACCGCTCTTGATGATGGAAATTGAGGTCCCCACCCAGAGTTCATTCTTTGTCCTTGCCACCCTTAATGCTTCTTCCAATTGATGTTCAATCATTTTTTATTATGCAACACATCTAAGGTGGGTGAATTAGGAAGTTTGGGAGAGAAAAAGAAGGGATTAAGTCAAAAATGTCAACTTTCCACCTTGAACATTGTAGCAGTTATTGTAATCTTGCCTTGCAAGCTGCACCTAGACACTTCTGAAGCTGAATTCGGTCACTCTCTTCATCGAGTGAACCATGATAGTCATAATATGCGACACTGCCCACAATCATGGCTTCCTGAGATATTGGCAGGATACCACACTTCATGGTAGAAACCTACAGTGACAGGGAATTGAGTGAGATAAATGAAGAGAAGGAGTAATTTTCCTGAATTGTATGAAAAAAATCCTGCAAAATTTAAAACACAATAAAATGTGCAAAATAAATGTCACTTACAGCAGCAGCTGCTGGTGTGTGTATATGTACAACACATCGAACATCGGGTCGTATTGCATAGATGGCAGCATGGGGACTGAACGATGCTTGGTCAATTCTTAAATTAGTGCTTCCCTGGTCCACTACTTCGCCCAGTATGTTAACTTTCACCTATAGGCAGAAAAGTATATGTGATGAACATTGATTTTTCTTGACTTTTTGTTTTAGAAAGAGGTGAAGAAAATAAAAGCTAGCCTTGATTGGCATTTCAAATTGCAAGACAATTCTTAAAAATACATCACTAAATATTTCTGATGACAAAAACCTTTTTTAGATGTTTTGTTCCAGAATATCAACTACATTGTCTGTTTTAAAAACATATTGTCTTTCTGTTACTGAAACTGCTTCTAATGAGTTCTTACTAACAGCTACAATCTTACAAGCAGTGTTCAAAAATGTTCAAGCAAGAAATACACAGAAATCCAAAGGTCAAAAGGTTCCAGATTTAATTTTCATGCTCTGTTGGATAACTAATTTCAGCTTCAATACTTCTGGTCGACAGGAGAAGGAAAGAATAAACCAGCCACTCTGGTTACTTTGCTGTGACTTTTGCTAAAAGGCATACACTGTGACATTGGAAATGTGATCAAGTTCAATATAAGTGTACAGTAGAAACCAACAACTGTTTCTGCATCAGCACCAGTCACAGCTTTTATGAAAAGGGGTTAGGAATACAAGTTTTAT